TAGTGACATAGTTCAGTACAAAACCCAGAAAGAAAATAATTTGAGTGGGAATTAGGACTGATTTCTGTAAATTCGCAACAAATCCTAGATCTTATAAAAGGGAAGCTTTATAATCCCTCTGAGAAGCAAGGACTTCCCCATCTGGGTGTACGAGCAGGATGTCGTCTAGATAGTACAGACACATGTAACCTTTTAGTCTGCCATGGGCTATCCCTGATTTCATTATTCTGGAGAATGTGTATGGTGCATTCAATAGGCCAAACACCATAACAGTCCACTGCCACACCTTTCCTTTCCACAGAAACCTGCGTAAACGACTGTGTTTCTTGGCTATAGGGACTGAATGGAAGGCATCTAACTTTATACAGAAAAATGTTTTCAGTACTAAGCCTGGAAGATCTGATAAACCCTCCATCCTGAACCTTTTTCTTTTGATGAAAGTGTTCAGAGACCTCACATTTAGAACCAGGAACCATCTGATTTTGGGATGGGGAACAATGGACTGACCCATCCTGTAATAGACATGTCTTCCAACTCTATCTTCCCTTAATATAAGCTAGGGAAAGGGAGGCATCTAGCACTGGGTTCACCTCTCTGCCGGGTGCAAACCTCTGAACTGGAAACCTTAAAAGGAGGAGTTGTAAACCGCTTTGAAAAATCTTTACAACCCATTTGTCTGAAGAAATATCCTTCCAATTTAGTGGTGTGTGAGGAGCAACACTTACTTGAATGCATGGATTTTCTCTTAGAAGCTGGACCACCTCTGGAATGAGCTGCTCTGCCACCGCCTGGGAGCTTGTGTTTTCCACTGTAGTGGCAGTACTGGACCTGGTGAGATGCTTCTCAGGATGCTCCTGCAGCCCGATAGGGGTCCCTCGGTCCGAAAGGGCTTCTTGCAGCCAGGAGACGACTTTTTGAGCTCTGAAAAGGATCTCCTTGCCTTATAACAACTTTTAACCTCCTGGATGAACGAGGGACCGAAAAGGTAAGAATACTCTAAATTTGGGAACTCATGTGATTTAGGGGCTAGGTCAGACATTTCTGCTGCGTTGAGCCAGCGAGTTCTGCGACTATTTGAGATTTAATTAAAGGATTGGCCAATAATTAGCACTGCCCTGCCGGACGCTTTCAATAAAGCCATCTTAGAAGCCAGCAGAGATGTAGCAGAAGGTTTCTGAGCATTGCCTTCTTTTTCTGCTTTATCCAGCATCAGTAAAAGTGGGCCCACAGTATCAGCAATTTAAAACTTTATATTACGAAAAGTCTGGTCCGTGGGATCTGTAGATACACTGCTCCCTGTGATAAATAACAGAGCAGGATCTACCTCAGGAGCCATTAAAGCCTGAATGGCCGGGATACCAATGTGGTTCCTGAGGAGAAGGTCCTTATCCAAGGGCAGTGGCTTACACACAATCCATGGGGCCCCGGTGCGAAACTGATCCATGGCCCCCCCTCCCTCTCTCTTTCTCCCCCCCTTCCCCGCCTGACAGACACAGACACACACCTACACACACACATACATACAGAGACACATACATACAGAGAGACACACACACATAGACAAATACACACAGATAGACACACATACAAACAGACAGGCACCCATACATACATACATACAGACAGAAACACACAGAAATATACATACAGACCGACACACACAGACACACATACATACAAAGACACATACATACAAACAGACAGGCACACATGTACGCCACTGTCCAAGGGGGATCTAAAGGCTAGTATGGCAAAATCTCTAACCTTAGAATTGTGTTCCATAACCCATCTGGAGTGAAATAATTTTAATGGGAGAGCCTTTCCAAGGAGGCTCACTATAGCCATCTGAATGTTGCTAAATTTCCCTCACTCAGTGGAAGCTGCTGAACGGACCACTTCCTCAGATTCACGGTCTATTTCTAGAGAGCCGTGTCTAGAACTGGAACAGCTTTGGGAGGAAGAATGAGCAAACACTCTAGAAGAGGAAGGAGAAGGACTATCTAACCTCCAACAAGATTTGTCTTTTTTTTTTTTACCTTGGAAGGTGTTTCTAGTGCTCAAACAAGGGAAGCAGACTATTCCTCTTTTGGGATCCTATCCCTTTAATTTTTCGCTTACTCAAATGAGTATGAGGGGAAGGAGGAGCAGAAAAATTTTCCTCAGACGAGGAACTGGCAGAACAGACCAGCTGCCTTTACTTATTCTTTTTATGTAAAACTGGGAACATATCCTCCTCAGAAGATGAAGAAGATATATCCCTGGCAAGGAAAGCTCTGTTATGGAGCTTTCTAACATTGATGGGGCTGCCTCTAAGAGAGGCATCCACTAAATCTGTGGCAGGCACAAATATGCATCAATGATGCTATTTAAAAAAAATCTGAGGTAATCAGGATTCCCACGCTCAGCACGGCTCTCTTGATTACCTGATTGGCTGAAACCAGTGGCGGATCCAGGGGGGGGGCAACGGGGCAATTGCCCCCCCCGAGAAATCCGCCGGTCTCCCTCTCCCCTGCCGGCACATGCAGGCGCTAGCCCTGCAATGTGCCTGCGGACCGGGGAGGAAGATCACAGATCAGAGCTCTCCCTCCCCGGTCCGCAGGCACTGTGCTGACAGCCGGCAGA